TAATTCGTTTTAATAGCTGTATAGATGTTAAGTGAACTATGCTATCTTTGTTTGCCACTGCAAAAATTATTTCCTTACTGTCTTGTTTTCCATTATAAACTTATAGACATTCTTAAATCAAGATACATTTATTTGAGAAGCAACATGACTGGAGATATTAAGTCTTGTTTTCTGAAAAATGCATCAAAATGTTGTTAGTTTTTGCTTAAAACAAGAAAAAATATCTGCTAGTGAGGTAAGAAAAATAATTCAAAGGCAAAACAAGATTATTTTTCTTGCCCCATTGGCAGATATTTTTCTTATTTTAGGCAAAAACAATTCCAGACAAGTCATTTGCAAGTAAATGCATCTTGAAAGACAAAAATACTAAGCAAGAAAATCTGTGTGTAAAGGAGCAATTGTCCTATAAAGCGAAAATATAGTTTTAAATCTGTAGGCCTCAAGACTCGACACACAAACATCAAGTATAGGTGACAATCAACAAATTTACATCACAACTCAACAAATAGCTAACAATAATGGCAAAACAACAACAAAAATGAAGTCAGCAAACTGCAAAACAATAATCCTATCACAGTAACCGCGAAATGTATTAATGAAGCATTGCATGCTGGGAACACACAAACCCTTAACATTTCAGCAATATGAATTTTTTTTTTGTTCAGAGTATGTTTGACTAGTTGGGACAACATCTGGTGGTTTTTATGTAGTTTCAAGAAAACCTCATTAGTATTTGAGACTCTAACGTGTAAGTAAACTGTAAAATATGTAGCTGTTCATTGTGGCCAAAGTTGTGTTGCTGACTGAGACCTCTGACATTTTGATATTGCTTTAGAACACTGTATCATTTCAAAGTTGTAAAGCTTCAAAAATATCCAAGATATAAAAGATCTATGTTGCTTTTGAAGAGATGAACAACATGCGGCACAATTTAATAGCACATGCTTGCTCAGGAGTATTTGTTCTGCCCGTATAGCAACTCACTGTAAAAAAATAAATAAACGGAGAAAATTGGTAAGTTGATGTGTTCAGATTTTTATTTTCTCTCAGCTATTTGTAGTAACACTACTTTGTTTTGTCGATTTGAATTTGTTTGTTCAGTATGTGAAAAATGCATAATTCAGCCAATAAATTCATTAAGACAACAACAGATTTCTTGTTCAGCCTGTTTTCATTTATTGTACATTTGCAGGATAATGATGTGCAAAAAATCGGAAGTCTTTCCTTTTTGTTTTTACTTACAGACAACATTGTCAAAACAGTCTGCAAAAAAGACTAAAAACACCGGCAGGCCAGTAGTTGGCGCTGTTACTTTGTAAAGACGTCACCGTTTTCGCAAATTTGTGTTTTTATAGTTTACATGGAGACGACAACAGTATAGTTTTTTTTTTTTTAACTTGCAGTTTGAATCTCGTTTTCAATAGTTTGCTTTTTCAGGCCCCCAAAACGGCCAAAACACATAAGAAGTTTTCCATTTTTAGTTGAAAATGGTGTTGTGTAAACGGCCTCTTAGTTACAATAAATTAATTTGTTTTGATAACTGCATAGATGTTAAGTGAACTATGCTATCTTTGTTTGCCACTGCAAAAATTAATTCCTTACTTAGTATTTCTGTCTTATTTTCCATTACAAACATCTAAACATTCTTAAATCAAGAAGCATTTACTTGAGAAGCAAAATGACTTAAAATATGCATCAAATTTTTGTTAGTTTTTGCTTAAAACAAGAAAAATATCTGTCAGTTGGGTAAGAAAAATCATTTTAATTCAAAGGCAAAACAAGGTTATTTTTCTTGCCCCATTGGCAGATATTTTTTCTTATTTTAAGCAAAAAAAATAAATAAAAAACAGAGAACATGACTTAAGACTTAGTATCTTAATCATTTTGCTTCTCAAATAAATGCATCTTGATTCAAAAATGTTTAGATATTAATACTAGAAAACAAGACAAAAATACCTAGAAAATCAGTGTGTGAGGGAGCAATAGTCCTCTAAAGCGAAAAAATTGTTTTAAATGGTTGAACATACTGCAGCAGGCCTCAAGCCTCAACACTCAAACCTCAAGTATAGCTGACAGTTAACAAATTAACATCACAACTCAACAAATAACTAACAATAATGGCAAAATAACAACACAAATGAAGTCAGCAGACTGCAAAACAATAATCCTATAGTAACCACAACATGTATTAATGATTAACATTAATGATTAACATTTCAGCAATATGACATTTTCTTTGACTAGTTGCATATGTGGATTATTGACTAGTTGGTGGTTTTTATGTAGTTTCAAGAAAACTGCATTAGTATTTGAGACTCTAAAGGTTTTGTAAACTGTAAAATATATAGTTGCTTTTTTTTTTACAGTCTGGTTCATTGTGGCCAAACAAAAGCCTGTTCCCAACAAAGGGATATAGAGTTGACCATAGAGTTTGTGCTCACAGAAAACCACGGCAAAGCCTCGGAAGACGCCGTGTACTTGGAATTCCATGTCTGAGATTACACAGGCAGGCCACCCATGATGTTAACCACTAGCCGAGTAAATGGGTTTTCTGAGTTGTCACTCAAGATTAAAGGCGGTATGATCTTACCACTGTAAAAAGCATTACCTCTGTCGGTAAACATTACATAATATTTACAGAGGCTGCTCAAGAATTTACATGGAAAATGTGAAGATGCATAAAAATCAAATGGAAAAACGTGACAATCGTGTCTTTGGTGACAATGCGGTGACGGTTTATCTAGTGCATTCTATGAAAAAAATAAGACAAGAGTTAATGTAACTGCCACACAGTTTACAAAACCTTCTGAGTCTCAAATATTAATGCAGCTTTCTTGAAACTACATAAAACCCACGTCAGACCAAACAGAATTCACCCAAATGTTTCAAACAAGTGAGTTTCTTTCTTGTGTGGAACTTAAAAGAAGATACAGTTAACCAAACAGCCATTGACTTCCATAGTAGGGAAAAAAAATATGATGGAAGTCAATGGGTGCCAGCAAATGTTTGGTTGCCAACATTCTTCAAAATATCTTCTTTGTTGTTCATAAGAAGAAAGAAACTCGTACAGGGTTGGAACAACATGAAGGCGAGTAAATGATGATGAATTTTTAATTTTTGTGTGAAATCTACTTTTATTTGTTGTGTTGTGATGTTAAGAGCTTGTCTTTTTACATTTGTTGATTGTCATTGTTCTTGAGGTTTGTGTGTCACTCTGTTCAAACGTTTAAAACTATATCCCGGATATATTTGCTTTGTAGGATGATTGTTCCTTCATAAATAAATATAGCATTCACTTAACATATTGAGTAAGACTATATATATACGACTATCGAAGTAACAAAATAATTTGCGTTACTAAATAAAAAATTGTTGAACAAGAAAACTGATTTATCTATAGGCTGAATGAGGCATTTTGCATTTAGTGAATAAACAAAGTAGTGCTACTTAGCACAATTATTGAGAGAACTTGTCTTGGATTTCTTTTTTTAATAGTGCAAACAATTTATTTTACTGGCCATTTAGCAGATGCTTCATCCGAAACGACTGAACAGCCTTCTCGAAGAAACCCAAGGTTAAGTGTCTCGCTCCAGGGCACAATGGTGACGGAGTAGGACTGGAATTTCGGCAGCTCTCCAGTTTCTAGGTCACTCCACCTGGGGTTGAACCTGCAACACTGAAGCCAGCAGCCCGGATCCTTAACCATTAAGCCATGACATCATGCATCATAAATGCAAACACAAAACACCTGCAGATAGAGAAGACTGATGAGCTGGAATCACAGATACAGTCTTCTCTTATCATGACGACAGGCCGGGCGCGCCGCAGCAGAATTTGCAAGCTCACTTCAGTTATCATGGTTTGTGGTTTTCTTCCTGTCATAATTATTGATCATGCGTTCTGACAAGAGAGCATGTTTTGGGCAATTAGCAGGGCTAAATGAATAACAGGAGGGCAGTGATAAGGAAAGCAAATGTACTTTAGGGTTTTGTTGATTAGATTCCAGCGAGGTTTGTTTTCCTCTTGTTTACTTAGTGTCATGGATCAGAACCAAGAGTGAAACATTAACTACAATAAAGTCGTTTTCAGACCTCCGTTTTTGACTTTTAAGTCAGGAAAAGTCATACAATCGCAAATTGTTCTTAATTCACTAACCATTTTTGCAAAATCAAAAAAAAAATAAAATAAAAAATTATCTCTGAGTGTGCTGAGATTATGGTTGAATTGTGAGCATAAAAGGGTCCTAAAATAAACAGAATAATAAAATATCTAAATGACACTTGAAAAGAACATTTGAAGTCATGAAATAAAGTCATACAATGGAAAATTGTTCTTAATTTACTAGACTTTCTTTTTGCAAAATGAATTTTTTGTTTATTCTCATTCTACGGTATTCCTTTATGATTACCTTTGAATTATGAGCGGCAAATGATCCTAAAAACAGAAAAATAAAATATGTAAATAATGTAAAAGGTCTGAAAATAAAGTCAAATCAAATCAGACATTGCATTGCAAAATAAGCAAATATATATATATATACTATATATTCCCCTTCATTCTGATTAAACGTATACCTATCTCAGTATGTGCTGGGATTATGGTTGAATTATAAGCAGAAAAGGTCCTAAAAGCAACAGAATAACAAAATATCTAACTGACAAGTGAAAATAATATTGAAAGTCAGAACGGCAAACCGTTTTTGGCATTTTTTTGCTTGCTTAATAAATTAATAAAATTGAATGAATGAATGAATAACCCTCATTCTACAGCATTTAAAGTGTTTTAAGTATGTGCTGAGAGATTATATGGACAGGAAAGGATCACAAAAGAAGCAGAATAACAGAAGAATATCTAAATGGACAGCTCCCCGTCATCTCATTTAATAACACCCCCGATGATCATTCATAACACGATCCACCTGATCAGGTGTTGATCCGCTCCGCGCGCCGCACGTGGGTTTCGTCGCACTGAAGTCGGAGCGCAAGCGGATTGGCTGCAGCGCCGGCGGCTCGCGCGGGGATCTCGCGCTCCTCCAGTTCTCCATCAGAAGGCGGGGAGCTCGCGCTGAGGTCACTTCACAGACAGACATCAACTCACCTCAGGAGCGCTGATTTACCTGTTTACAGCCGATCCGCGGCGTTTCGCGAAGCCTTGAGAGAACAGCTGCTCAGAAGAGGAGGAACTGAGGATATTGATCCCAAACACTTGTGTTTGACGGGCGTTGGTGGCCGCTTCTGTCAGAAGAGTGCGCTGAGGTAAAAACCAACGGATTCCATCAACGCTTCATTCCGCGAAAAATAATCTCTCCGCCACAAATTCCGCTGGTTTTATTACAAACAACATCCCCAGAGGTGCCTCTGATTATTATTTCACCGGATTTCTGCCTGGTTTTGACTGTTTGTATGATGGGAAGAAGTAAAAAGACTGTGAAAAGAGAACGAGGCGGATCGGGATTCTTATCGCAGATGATAACTGTGCTAGTTTTTACTATTTTATCGCTCGTCAACACCGGTTCGGCTCAAGGTAAGAAAACCTTTCAATATCAGCTGAATATCGATCAGTATCGCTGACTGAAGTTTGCTGGATGAGCGAAAGTTTCGTTAAATTATCGTTCAAGGTCTTCGTATGAAAAGTTGTGAAACCGATCCAGCTTTATGCAGATATCTATACGGCATACCATCTGATTTCAGTAAATAATGCTAATAAGTCTTCATTGGAGTTACTCAAACCCTTCGTTTGCTTGGATTACTAGTCAGATTTGATATTTCAGGAGTGAATTGATGTGGTTTTTGTTTGTAAATTCTGTGTTTTGTGTGGTCGAACATGTTAATTAATTCCCGCCAGATCGGATTTGTTTATATATTTAAACTAACAATGGCATTTGCTGTTAATATTATTTTTGTTGCAGTAGTTTTGTTTATTATCGTTGAGTGTAAGAGCGTGTTGTTTATATTTCAGCCAGTGTTGTCACAGTTGGTTAAATCTCTTTACATTGAAAAATCGCATATGTGGGTTATTGTCGTTTGGTTTTAATTTTAGGCACGAGCTCATAGTGAGGTCATTACATGAGAAACTTTGTCTTGTGCTGCTGTGTGTGTGTCTGTCTGTCATGACAAAAGCACGTTAGAAATGAGCAGAACGATGTTTTTGCGTTTGTCCTTTTATGCGCAGACGGATCTGTACCTTTCTGAAGGCGTATCGTGCTGCTTAATATCTTTAGTCTTGTTATGAATGCTGAAATCTTGTTACAGGACCGTTTTCTGGCTTTAAAGGATAAGAGTATTTGATTCCGAGTTGTTTTTCAAACCCATCTCTTTTGCTGTAAATCTTGTTTGCGCGTTGTTTACTATAGAAAGGGCTTAGCGCGTTATTATTTAATTTTTATTATATATATATATATATATATATATATGTGTGTGTGTGTGTTTTTACTATCCAAAATTCCTTTGGGAATATTTTGGGGAAATCAGAGAAACTTGAAACCACAAAATATCACTCATGGCCTCATTCTGTGAGAAGCGAATGTGCTGCTGGCATTTTATATGTATTAAGAGTTTGAATTGATAATTTACCCAAATTCCCTGTTTCTATTAGGAGTAAAATAAATAGTTTGATTATTTTGCTATTGAGTACTTCTTCTTCTGCTGCATGCTTTGATTGCATTATAATGAACTAATTAAATGAATTTTCCTCTGGGCACAACGTTGTGAGTTAAAAGTGCTTTCTCTACGCTGAAGATGCTTTCAAGTTTGTGTTAGTGGCATATCTCAGAGCTGATGCCGTTTGCTTTCTTGAACGTGTCCGTTCACTGAAGTGAGTGTGGGACTCCATTAAAAGGATTTCGCTGAATAATTGTCGTGTAAGTAAACCGGCAGCCATGTTCTTGACACAGAGAGATGACACAAAGACCTCCTCCCTATCACAAGGCAGGTTTGTGAATCTCCTCCGAGCCACGTTTGACATTGACTTCAACCCTTCCTCAGTGGTTTACATGCAGTTGTACTGTACTGGATTCTGCTGATCTCGTATTTCTTTGGAGATCACTGACAAAAAAGGTGTTGAACTTGTTAAAGTACTATTCTAGATTATGTACTATATTGCTGTATTATTTAAAAGCTACTTTTTTCCTGTAGCTCAGCGGCAAGGTCATGGGTTTGATTCCCAGGAGATGCATGCATTGAAGAAAAAGTTAAGCATAAATGCAATGTATAAGTCACTTTGGATAAAAGCATCTACCAATTGCATAAATGTGAAGTCATTTTTGTACTATTCTAGATATAGCGCTATTTGTACTATATAGATATATGCTATATTGCTTTATTATTTAATAGCTACTTTTTAAACCATTAGTTCAAACAGAAGAGCAATGGAAAGGTTGTGGGTTCGATTCCCAGGGAATGCTAAAGCTTGAATGCAGTGTACGTCGCTTTAGATAGAAGCATCTGCCAAATGCTTAAATGTAAAGTGATTAGGGATGTTCATTTTAACCGGTTAACCGACCGTAATAATTTTTGACCGATTAATACAATCAGTTAAACGGTTTAAAAAGTAATTTATTTATTTATTTTTTCAGTAATTTATCAAAATATTTAAAAAGGTTTGCTGCATGGTTAAAATACGCTACGTGTATATAAAAAAGTTGCGTAGCCTAAGTTGCATTTTATTATTTAATTCAGAAATAGACCAAATGCCAACACGAAATGTTTGCAAACATTATAATAAACACTGTAAACATAGCTAGGCTATTTTAGTTCCCCTCACTCCACAACAAATCCTTTCAATTAACAGTATTTTGAAAAGAACAAGAATTAAAAATATAAGAAGCTATAAACGACAAGCCAAAACGAATTCATTTAGGCTAAAACGAAACTGAAACCAACGTTGGGTCTCTCATTCGACACAAAATCAAATGTTTCTGTATTCACGATGTATTTGAATGCCAAAATATTTATTATGTAGCCTACTTCACTCGCGTTCCAATATCTACGTAAAACAAAATGTTTTGCATAACATCACGGCGGTACGGTGATAACGCTTCACGGCACAGATTTTACTACATTTAAACTGAGCAGTGTGTTTTTTTCCATATGTTTGACTGACTGCATTTTATTAGGATAATGAACAGGATGCATTGTCAAGGTAGCAATGCTTAACTGTGCGGCGCCATTGTACAACTCTAGATTATGTACTAGCCTACTATTTAAAAAAAAAAAAAGTGATTACTGTAGCTCAAACAATAGATCAGCGGCAAGGTCACGGGTTCGATTCCTAGGGAATGCATGCATTGAATAAAAAGGAAAGCTTGAATGCAATGCAAGTTGCTTTTGCCAAATACATATAATTACATATAAAGTGATGTTTGTATTATTCTAGATTATATACACTATAATACTTTATTATTTAAAAGCTTTTAAGTGAGCTTTGTATTGTAAGTGTTGCATGCTTCAGGCTACAAAAACGCCAGGAATCGGATTGATAGAAACCCAATCCACCCTCGACAATTGTGCATAGTTAATGAGAAACAAGGAAAGGTTGAGGAAAAACTATCCCGCTCCAGTGTCTGAAGGGCATCTCTGGATGACATAAGGCCGATTCCAGAAGCCCTCAGAAGCCAATGCCATTGACTGTAATGGGAACACGAACCAAGTCTCTTCGTGTCCATTAAGAAGTCGATATTTAGGGTGAACATTGTTTGCGACTAATTAATGGCCCATAGGTTTTTTGGATACTAATGAGCTACACGTTTCAAGTTCACATGGGGATCTTTTCATGCTTGAAGAACTGCCCAGTTATTTATGCAGTTACGGCTACTCTGCATGGAAAAAATACCCTCACGCTCCTTTCTTCTCCTGATCCCCCTATTTTTCACTGTCGATACACTTGTGTTAATTAAGTGTGTGAATTCCCACTCGTCCCAGTGTTCTCTTGGCCCTGGAAACAGAGGAGAGAGCAATAGAGAGGGAAGGAGTGGCTTTATCAAGTACAGTAAAATCACTGACATCTCCACCACAAGTGTCTCCTGTCGCCTGAATATGAATAAGAGGCGACCAGTCAAGAGGGAGCGAGGGGGATAAAAAACAGCACTGTGCGACCCTTGACAATACTTAGACAGGAGACGGTCTTGTCATCCGCTTTAATGGCAGAAGGCCGTGTGGATTTGGGGGCTGAAGTAGACCGACTGTCTGTTCGAATATGCAGATCCTCTGCTGATGAAAGGCGAAGATCCCAAATGTGCATAATCCATTCTTGTACGTTTTTGTTTTCATGTAGGCTGCACGCTTTTTCTGCTTTCTGTATGCCATCGGTTCTATATGCAGTGCTTTTTTTGTAAAACAAAGGCGCCTTGTTTGCTGTCTTATGTGTAATTACTGTTTAAAAAAACAGTGAAGCAAACCCACTGCCTGCTGAGTGCGTCAAAGCGTGAGTTCACTTTTTCCAGGTCTGTCCTCTCACTCTGCATGTTATGCGTCCTCTGAGCTTTGTTTATGGACGGGGGGGGGGGGGCTTTT